TTGGCAAGCGTTCTCCCAATGAAAAATCACAAATGCCTGTTTGACAACACTGCGACGTGGCGAATGTGACTCGCCACTAAATAAAGTCACTGCCCCTTGCTTCACCCCAGGTAGTATACTATTTCACCAGTCTTGTGTTAAAATGCTATCAAGGATCGGGTCACTGTCTAGTTACTTACCAAAGGAAAGGAGTATGAACCTTGAACTCGGTCATCGGCTCCCAGTGGGCGCGATTCCTTGAATTCCTTGCGCTGCCTTGCTTGTAGGCTTTCGGGCTGTAGGCTCGAAATTGACCCCTCTGATACAACTCCATATTTCGGTTTGGGCAACCGGGTGATGTCATGCCAACTGCAGAAACTATGCACCATACTACTAGCCACACGCTCTCGTTCCTCTCTCCGTCGTTTCACATCAATCTCTAACACACGCCAACCATTTGTCTGTTGGTAATTAGTTTTACCCTCAATCCCTACATTGGTTTCGATGCCACCCACAAAGTCCGAACCGAGGCTATACTTCGACCCCGATTCTCATGTCGACTGGAAGCGCTCCATGTTTGAACTCTCGTGCGGATTGGGCAACAGATCGGTCTAGCATGCACTCTGGACTCTTTTGCTATTGATATTTGCTGCTTTTCTGAAACTAGCTTCTAAGACTCGTGCCCTGTACTCAACAGCCGGTTGTGTAAGTTTCGTTTTTTTTTAGGTTCATACGAAGTTAACAGGCACCGCGCTGAATAGCGCAACCTGTTCAGGATCTTCACCTATGCGCCCACCGCCTATAACTGTAAATCGGTGAAGGACGATTTTTCATTGTCAGATTCATCAGCTTCTGCACAACGCCCCCGACTCGGCTGTTGTCGTCTTCGTCGGGGACTTCAATACTTGTATCGGTCGCCTGCTGCCAGGTGACTATCGTCTGGGTTGCCATCACACACTGTACGAGAATCGCTCTGATAACCGAACCAGGCTTCTCACTTTTTGTGAAGACAATGGCTTATTTCGCGAGCACCGACTTCGGACATTCCAGGCTTTTTGCCGTCTGGCGTCCTCCTTCATCAATGCAGGTTTACTCACAACCAGATCACATTGTAATAAGGTTCCGGTGGCGAGATAGTCTATAGGACTACAGATCATTTTGGTCTACTTATTTAATTGCGGTCACGCACTGGTTTGTGTGAACATTTGCATGCGCTTTGAAGGTCTTCCCAAACGGAAGCATGCTTGATACGAACAGACTGGCAGCCAATCCGTCGACTCAGCCGTACTGTTATTTTCGTTGGCAAACGCCTCAACCTGTGTTGCTCTCACTGATCTCGAACTGCATTGGAACTCTTTGCATTGTTCATTACTTTGTGCAGAGCAGATTTTTCGTATTTCTTTTTGGCGAGTGCAGTTTCTTTTGCGATTCTGAATTTGTTTATTGTGTATTAGTTTCGTGTCCGTATATTTTACTCTGGTATTTGTATCGTGTACTTATCGTTCACTTTATCGTCACATCTGCTAAGCTATCCGTAATGACGAAGCTGACTCCCTGTGACACTTGTTGCAAAATAGTTGGGCATAGATCCAATGCTGTTACATGCCCCATGTATGGTGTGAATTTCTACATTTCGTGCATTGGTTTGTCTTTAGATCATAAATTACTGCGTGGCTTCCAGTATGACTTTGTCCAAATATTGTGCAATAAATACCAAGCCACTGTGCAGTCACAAACAGCCGAGAAGCTGCGCGAGCCTACAAGATGTGCGAAACGTTCCATAGGAGCTCCGTGGCGTCATCTTAGCAAGCGAAAACCCACCCACCTCTGTTTTCGAACGAGCCTACCTACACACCGGCTGCAGACTCTTCAGCGCGATGTCCACCCGTTGCTGGAGACTCAGCTGGTGTGCCTTTTGGTGTGTGCTACGGACATTAACATACCGGTGTGCGATAGCGCAGGCGTTAAAGGCCGATGGCGAATGCGGCGTAGCCAAAATGAAAAGACAACTGCCAACAACCAGTGGCGTAGTAACCCTATGATATTTCACACGCCTGAGTCGACAGATGCTAGTCCTCATGCTCGTTATGACTATGGCGTGAATTTTCTGCAGTGCCTGATTGATAGACTTCTCGACGGGATTGAACAAGGGTTGCGGCTGAAGCAAACCACGTTTGTTGATGCAACGAGTCTGAAGATCCATGTTCGTCCCGATTTGGATCCTTCAGACAGAGAGAAACTGAAGTCCACTATCGTGGAGTTAAAGCGGCAGGCTGATAGTGGGGAAACTAATCTCCATCTTGTAAATTCTCCGGTATTTCCCTGTGTCCGCCTTACCCGGATCAACGGATGGATGACGCTTCATGCGGCTCTTGCGGTTCTTACCGCTGGCTGCGCGTAGCCTTCACAGATGTTTGTAGTTTAATGAACAAACGGGACGATATGTTTCACTTCGTTGCCTCATCTCGTCCAGACGTACTAGAACTGGCTGGAACCTGGTTAAATCTTAAGGTCACTACCCAAGAAGCCCAGATCAGTGGCTACTCTTGCTTCCGATGCGACAGACTATCGAACGGTCGAGGCGGCGTGCTGTTATACATTAGGTCCTCGCTGTGCGGGAGACTGTTGCACACCTACCGTAGTGCGGATGGCTTGCGCAAACAGTTATGGCTCGGGCACATGCTACGTATGCCTGACCACCGCTTACCTAGGAGGACCTTGTTTAGTCTGCCAGGTGTGGAGTGGCGCAGGGCTCGAGGTGGACAGAATTTGACCTGGCAGCGGAAAATAAAGTCACTGACGACCAAACTGGATGCCGTCGGTCCGTCTCATCTTCCGGGCAGGAGTCCACGTGACTTGCCTTGTGTTTGGCTCGAGACTTTATAGTACATCGCTGGTAGTCGATACCAGTGGCGCGTCTGCTGCCGTCTCCTTGTCAGACTGCCTGTTTAAAGTGCGTTAGGTGCTGAGTTATCTGCGGGGTGCTGACTGTTTATGACGTGGGGCAATGAAAGCCGCAAGGAAGTTGTCTCGCCGATGCCGCCTTATCTTTGCACGATAGCCAGCTGTTTGTCACGTTATGTTGTCTACACAAGGTGTAGGCGCCTTGACTCTGAATGTTTGCTTAGGGTATTAAGGTTTTCCGGTAAGTCCCCCTTCTCTCCTTTTTCTTATTCTTTATTTCATAGGTCCTCATGGTTGTATGGCAGCGAATCATCAGTTCAAATGGCTGATGTATTGCTGTTTTTTGGTGATGATGATGAAGATCATATGATGCTCGATCCGCGTAAGGCAGGGTAAACTGTTTGTGGGTGCGGCTCATCGCAGCCAGCGAAGTCGATGTCTGGTTTAGTTGCCCCATGCCAGAAACTACATGTGTCAACCCCGCTTCCTGCTTATTGCTACTTTTAACTTTCTTGCGTACGGTGGCCTATAGCTTCAACTTCTCCCCTGGCACTGTGAAGTGGAGGCGCAGTTTGCGGAGTTAGTATGTGAAACTGGGGTAGCACAACATGCCTGCCAACCGACGCGCGTTACATCGCATTCCGCTCCATCGTGCACATGAAACTCACGTCCTGGAGCCTTTGGCAGCTGGTGACCACTCGACAGTGTTAGCCAGCCTAAAGATGCTGCTGTCCTACTCGCGTCTGCCGAAGACGTCCTACAATTATTGGAAGACTGATTTCAATGGTCTAAATCGAGCCGCCAGTGAAGTAGACTGGTCGCTGCTGCAGGGTTAATTTGTTGAAGCCTGTTGGTCAGTTATAAAAGAGAGTGTGCAGTCGTTGTTCGCTCGTTTCTTACCCCACAAATATCGGAAAGCTGGGCCAGTGAACCCACATTGGTTCGACGGAGAGTATAGTGAACTGGTTCGACGGCGACGCGATTTTTGGAATAAATTTCTCGTCTCTGGCTCTGCCGACAATTGTGAGGAGTACAAAAGCAGCGGCATGTATGCAACAACACAAAAATGCGAAAGCATTGGCAGTTCGAAGAGGAGCTTGTAACCTCAGTGAAGACGGCCCGCAAGAAGATGTTTGCTTACGTGAAGCAGCGCCTGAGGCCCGCAAGTGACGTAGCTGTGTTAAAGGATACTGACGGACAGTCTCTGACCTCCAGCACTGATCGTGCGTCCGCATTGACGAAGCACTTTGCTGCCGTATATACAGGTTGGCATGTGCCCATGCCGAGCTCGACGTGTGCATTCCCTACTGAACTAGAGGGCCTTAATTGCGGTGTAGGAGATGCCCACATTCTACTCGCCAGTCTTGATTACACAAAACCTGCCGGAACCGGTGGTCTTCACCCGCTAATTTTGAAGTCCTTATTGGCCATCGTCTCGCCTGCCGTGACGGATCTGTTCAACAGATCGCTGTCCCAGGGTGCATTGCCGAACGACTGGACATGCTCGGTAGTGAAGCCGGTTCCAAAAGATGACCCACGCAGTGTGGACAATTACCGGTCGATTTGTCTCACCTCTGTTTTGGCGGTGCTCAAAAATATTGTGAAGAAAGATCTTCACATTCTACTGGGGTCGAAAGATGTCCTAACGCCCGTACAGCACGGCTTCATAAAGGGCTGCTGTTGTATCACCAACCTGCTGTTGACGCGGCAGGAAGTCAGTGGATGTTCTCCATATATTTCAGTAAAACTTTCGATAAAATGAACCTTGACGTTCTGCTCCACAAAATGCTACCCACATTATAATCAATTCTCAATCCCTACCCACCTATCCCCTACAAACAATTCAATCTAATACCCCACCATTCTCATCTTACCCCATCCCACTACCTCCTTACCCCCCAACTCTGTTCTTACCCCCCCCCCCCCTTCCATCCTACACTTCCCCCTATAATACAAATCCTCAACCCCACCCCTCACCCCCACCTCAAAAATACAAACCCTCCACAAAACATCTAAAACACACTATTCACAAACAAACCCCAACCCATACAAATATAAAACTCTCAAAAACCACAACTATCCTTCTCAAATATAAAAACACTATCACCCCATCATAT